CACATACATTCAATGTAGCCAGACGGGCTTCCGCAATCCACTTTTCGCCCCTCCGGGGGACAGAACGTGACGGGTGGCGAACCTCGTCGCCGGTTTTCCTCCCGGAGATTCTTCGCACCCCTGCCCCATTAAAGGGGCGCCGGGAACTCGGGGCCATTTCGTCAACTTTATGCCTCATGGTGCGAAAGTAAGTTGTGGTATTTTTTTACGCCGTTAACACACGGCGAGGAGCCGAGTCAGTTCTTTCGGCTTTGTCGCTCGTTTAGCACCACCCGGGGGACACGTGTAGGGTGGGCCTAGGATTAGGTGGTCGAAGCCTACGGACGCGAGCGACTCATCTCGCTTCATTATAATAGATGCTATATATATATATAATACGTTTATCAATAATAATATACTACGGAAGGAACCCCGTTCCAACCGAGTGTTCCACGACACACGCATGTTTTTTTTATTATGAAACTGATAAACAAACTTCCTGTCTACCTGATGGTAAGTGGCTACATTAACCTATGGATATCTGCAGCCAACTTGTTTAAAGTTAAAAGAAGCCTACAGATGCGTTGTCACTGCTGAGGACTAAGAAGGATCGCAGCCTTTAGTTATACTGGGTCTTAATAACTGGCTATTAATAACCGTTCAGGCCGGAACAAAGCAGTGGAAGCGCTGCTATCTGGCGGTAGAAATAGGTAAGATGGTGGACCTACTCAGACGGATTCTTGGGCAGAAAAGTAGACCTACCATCTAGCGACAGAAAAAGGTTTTCAAATAAAAATAACATATTAAGTATATCATGTAATTATAAAATTCTTGAAGCAATAGCAGCAAGATTTTTCAACGTGGTAGAGCCATGCTGCAGCTATATTAGTAGTATAGTTGTAGCACAAATGGGTCGGCTCGACCGGGGAAGGACCACGCTCTCACAGAATACCAGCGTAAAATAGCAGTTTAACACTGCTGTGTTTCGTATGGTGAGTGTAAAGAACCGGAGACCCTTATTACTGGAAAAGAGGCATTCCATCTTAGTCCTGACAGGGTGTCAACGCATCTGCATTATGATTCGCAAACGAAGATAGATGAAGATGTCTATGGGCCATAGCAACCTCTTACCATCAGGTGGGTGTGCTCGTTTGTCACCCTATCCTATAAAAAAAAGGTCGACTCGTTCGAAGTTTCACAGCACGCAAACTACACGAATTCGCTTATTGGCAATCTGAACTGCTTATTTACTAAGTAATAGCGGTCGGCAAAACTTCATCATCCTCATGATTTTCATCATCATTGCAGCCACACAAAATTTTTGCTGAACATAGTCCTACCGCAAGTAATGTTACCAAAGAACGGTTCTGAGCGTCCATCCACTTTCTGCATGTCTTACTAGGTCGTTACACCACTATTAGAGGTTACCATTTTATTACCACTATCACGTCTAGGGGAGGTTCTTCGAGGCTGCCACTCCAAAACATATCTTCTCCATTGTTTGCAAGTTCGTCAAGGTATATGACCCGCCCATTGTTGTCGGTATATCGGCGCTGGTGTTTCGTGTTCGATTGATGGCGTTCGTGTCAACAACATCAGTTATCCAGACGACGTGGTGCTGCTGAGTCCATCGATCAGTGCCCTTCGAAAACTCATTTCGTACTACGAGCGTTATGCGGGCGCCCATGGGCTCAGAAGCGGGATCAAAAACTTACACTGTCCCACCGGTCACATTAAATGGCAGTGTCCTTATAAAAGTCTCGCAGTTCAAATATCTGGGCCACTGAGTCACTGAGGCGCTTTCAGATGATATTGATATGGATAGGGAGCGTAGGGTATTGTTTGTTCGAGCCAATATGTTGGTATGTATATTCGCGCGCTGTACTGCAGAAGTAAAGGCTACGTTGTTCAGAGCATTCTGCCAAACATTCTACACGTGCAGCTTATTGGTCAAGTACACGAAAAACTCTTACGACGCCCTGCGCCTGCTATGCAATAACGCTTTCAGGGCACTGATGATACTGCACGTTGGCGGAAGCGAATATAGATGGATTCGCGGCGATCATTCGGATGCGATTCGCGTCCCTGATGGGCCTCATACGGAGTGGCTCCAACAGCTACCTGCAAATGTTGGCCTAGAGGTTGGATCTGGATTACCCTATAATGCGGCACTGAACAAGGTTGCATGTAGAGCACTCCGGATCTAAAACTAAATTTACATTACGTTAGAGCTGTGTATCTGTTGTATTGTGTTTGTGTATTTTATGTAAATTTCGTTAATTGTAATTAATTAATTTAAATGAAATAATTGATTAATTAATTTATGTAATTGATATAGAATTGACATTATAATTTAGATTTAATTTGTCAATGGCATCTCTGTTCGATCAGGGCTATTCTCAGAGTTTCTCTGGGTGATAGAATCCGTATCGTTTGACAATTCATCGTGAAGAAATTAGCAAGTTAACCAAAAAATGACTGTAATGTAATATGAATTCCCTTCAAACTTAATACAGGAACAGCGTTGCTGATTACAGTAATGAGCCTGTTCTAATGTCCGCGTTACTTTACTTTGAATATAATAAGTTCGAAATTATTCGAATCTAGAAGTTATTCGAGTCTTATGTAGGTATATACCTAGTCAGGTCACAAATTCTGTCTCATGTTTAATATAAAATAATTTAAACAAGTTTATTCATTATGTAACCATTTATATACCAAAATGAACTTAACAAAACATAGATTCTTATGACACTAAAGTTTATTCAAAATAACCTCCGTGATTTTGAATACAGGCCTTCAATCTGCGCGGCCAGTCGTCTATCGCAGCACGAACGAGGTCCATGTCAATATCGGCGGCTGCCTTAATCAAGGATGTCTTGAGTGACTCCAAATTGAGATGAGGCTTTGAGCACGCCTTTTCCTCCAAGTGTTGCCATATCTTGTAATCTAACGGATTCAAATCTGGACTGGAGGAGGGCCAGTCTTCGTTGCGGATGAAGTCGATTTCACGCGCCGCCAGCCAGTCTTGTGTGCTCTTCGCTCTATGAGCTGGCGCCGAATCTTGTTGGAATACCCAGTGCCTGTTATTGAAAATGATATGAGAAACAGGTTCCACTAGGTTCGTCAGGACTGTATTTTGATACACAACTGCATTCGTTTTTACCCCTTTCTCACAAAAATGTACCTCTGTTAAGCCCCAATAAGAAACTCCCAACCATACCATGAGCGAGGATGGAAAATGACCTCGTTGGACACGCGGAATACAGTTGCTCGCTTCTTCACTACTGTGTGCGTACACCTTATCATTTTGTTTGTTGTAGCTCTCTTCTACGGTAAAAATTTTTTCATCCGAAAAAAGAATTTCCCGATATTTTTTTCCCGCGTACCGCTTCAACAAAGCGCGGCATCTCTTCAGTCTCAGGTCCATTATACGAGCATTCAAACGATGTCCTGTTTTTCTTCGATATGCCCGAAGCCCTAAGTCTTCATTTAACACCCTTTTCACCGTGATTCTGCTTAACCCCATCTGAAGGGCCAACAGTTTCTGCTTACGTTTGGGATTTCTTTGAATTCGCGCCTTCACAGCTTTTATCACTGCTGGAGTCCTAAGAGATCGAGGGCGACCACTTCTTGACCTGTCATTTACACTAGAGTCTTCATTGTATCGTTTGATGGTACGATAAACGAATCTTTTGGTTATATTCAAATTTTTCAGTGTGTCAAAAATTTGAATTGGCGCGTAACCGCAACGATGCAACGCAATGACTACAACACGGTTTCCTTTAAGCGTCCACTCCATATTTAAAAATGAGTAAAATTCTAAAAAGTATACAGTTTTATTTTCATGAACAATTCAAAATTCGAATTCAATAAACTTTTTTGTGGCCAGCATTCTAAAAGAAAAGTTTTTACTGTGTGACAATACTTATGACCTGACTAGGTATATTTGTTTATATGTGTGTATATATGTTTAAGTATAATATATTTATGTTTATATGCTATAAATAAAATGAGGAAGACATTTCAAGTAAAGGAAAGCTTTGTAAAGTCACTACAGCCGTGCACTAATTCTGCTTTTGTGCTGCGTGCCTAGTGTGAGAACCACTGCTAAATTATTTGTAGGGGCGCGTTTCCACGACACGCACCCGCTATGCGCACTCCACGCGCGTCAGCACCCGCATCTAACTCGCTTTGAAATTTGTTACAAATAATTTGAGTCTTATGACAAATCAATAAATCTGAAATTGTATAAAAAGCGCGTGTGCGGAGTGAGCGCGGGATCAGCGCGGAGCGGGAACCTAAGACTCAAATTATATGCAACAATAACTGTCAAATAAAGTATTTTCCATTTTCATTTTCAGTCTATAAGAACAAATTGTGACTTCTTCCTTCTAATAAACCCTGCTGGAAATGGACATAATAGGGAGAATTTGGGGTTATTTTCACTCTTTGCTGACCGTGACGACGTGTTGCAATCACAAGGAAGACACCGCCGGTCTGGGTGTTCCGAGTGTGGCGTAAGTTAAACGTGATGATTATATCACCATATATCGGAATTTTATACGTGGTAGAGCCGCGCTACAGCTATATTATGTTTGTGTAGCACGAATGGGTCGGCTCGACCGGGGTCTCACAGAATAAAAACGTAAAATAGAAGCTCAATGCTGCTGTGTTTTGTATATTGAGCGTAGAGAACCGGATACCCTTTCTACTGGAAACGAGGCATTCTATCTCAGTCCTCAAGGATGACAACGCATCTGCATTTTGATTCTTAACTGAGGATAAATGTAGATATATGTGCCACAGTATTCACTTACCATCAGATGGACTTTGTGCACGTTTGTCATACTTATTCTATAAAAGTAATAAAAAATAATGATCGCAAGCCTGAGAAAGAGAAAACATGGCCACCACAATGCGGCGTTAGGTACGGCGGAGGCCCGTGTTGCTCTATGATTGCCATAAAAAATTTCGCTTCATTGTAACTTTTTTAATAATAAATACTAAAACATCTTTATTTACAGAACCACATAAGATTCCTTATTATTTTTACTAATAATACACCATCCTATCAACACAATAAGTACGATAATTGCGAAAAGAAACCGTAGCTCTGATCCAAGATCCCTTTTGTACTCCAATATAGTGCAGTCTTCGGTCCAGTCCCTCGGAATTAAAGGTTCAACCAGTTTTCTTAACTCCGTAAAGGGACATCGTATGCCGCAACCAGGTAACCAAAGCCGTGTCAGTTCTCCGTCAGGACCTTTGCTGTACCAAAACTGTGCATGGATCTCCTCATCTACCTCTCTGTACTCCACTATAACAGCTGATGTAAAATTAGGAGGTTCAGTCAGCTCAAAACCTAACGACCCAAGCAAACTACCCACAACGGTATCATGAGTGCAATAGAGGTGAATATTGTACGTCGAATTATACTTCTTAAAGTTTGTTATTTTCTTTAACAAGGGCCCAGATCTCAGTCTTTTTAACTCCAAAGTTTGTGTGGATCGAAGCAAAGCTTTTGCAGTCTGTTTTTTCATGGTTTCGTAAACTCGTTGCGTCCATTTTGGGAGTCTTAAACCAGCTTGTGACTCAATTTCTAAACACGTGTAAAGATTTATTAGTGACTGTGCTGAAGCTATTTGTTTTCCAGTATACTTGGTCAGTAGATTATATAACAATTTAGTTTCAGAGTCGTTTACGTCCGGCAGCTGGTTGATGAGGTAATAGTATTCCGGGCAGTGTGGATGTGACACTAATACGTTGTCGAAGTTGGATGGTATTGTGTGAATTGCGGCTGGTTGCCACGTGATATTCGACCATATGTCTTCAGAGTTAGGAGGTATTAGGCCCGCTAATACTACGGAACTGGTCATTAATGTCCTCAAAGTGTCCGAAGAAGAAGCTTTAACTGTTTTCCAAGCGCGTTCTTTAAGTAGCAGGGACTGGTATCTCGATCTTAGGTTCTGGCCAAATTGGTAGCCTTGCTGTCTTCCCAGGATAGTTAATTGGCTTGGTCCGTTTTTCCAAATGGGCGATGAAGCGTGTGGGTCTCGTGGGTAAAACGCTCTGGGCTCCCTGTGTCCATGTCTATACACAATGTGGACTTGTAGCAATTCTCCATCTACCCCACCTTCAATCGCTGGAGTCCAATAATATTTTTTCTCTTCTGAATGCACAGATGCGAATAACAGAATTATGAACAACATATTGATAATTTTCTCACAATACATGCCCTACTTATTTATAACTTAATGTTTACAATAATTAATATCTATTTACATTGTTGTCTCGTGCTTCAAAAGTAGTTGATTATCTTGTAATATGTTAAATTTGAATTATAATAGGCTTATGTCAATTCATTAACGACGCATTTTGCTCCTCGTACGGTACACACTTTAAGTGTTTGAATTACTGTTTGTTTGTTTAACGAAAATATGACGAATATTATAAACAAATGTCGAGATATTTCAATATTAATATATGTATGTATAAATAGTCTCATCAATGTATTTTAAACAAACCATTCATAAGTTAGTCATCAGTGTATTAAGAATATCACATCAACAGTTTTTTGAGATTTTTTTAAAGAGTTAGGGCGACGAAGAGCACACAGTCCACCTGATGGTAAGTGGATGCTGTGCCCCATATATATATACAGCTATCTTTCATTAAGAATCAAAATGCAGATGCGTTGTCACCCTTAAGAACTAAGATGAAATGCTTTGTTACCAGTAAAAAGGATCTTCGGTTCTCTACACTCACCATATGAAACAGCAGAATTAAGTTGTTATTTTACGCTGGTATTCTGTGAGAGCGTGGTCCGTATAGTGGTGCGTGAGAATGACCAACTATACTATGGTTTATACATAGGTATATGGACTAACTATATGATTTTCCCAACAAACGGATCCATGTCCAGTTGAGAACTTTTACGGGTTCAAGGAACTGCAGAGTGTGAGACAGAGTGAGAGTGTATCCCCGAAACTTTTCAAGGAGTCTTTGCAAGGAAGTTATCATATTCAGCTACATCACCACTTACTATAACTGGGATAGTAATATGGTCAATAAAGTATAAAATATTATTTTATCTCTTTATTTATACTTTATTGACCATATAAATAGGACCAAGGTGGACTTGCGTGACCATGAGTCACAAAACTAGTGAAACAAAGATATTAAAAGTCTTGTTATCTTACATAATAAGGGTAATTACTTATTTTATTACGTTATGTTTGTATAGCCGGCCGTGTACCCGCGCCGTTATTTATTCTGTGCCGCGGTGCAAATATATCATATCGTACTTTTTTATATAGGATAGGGTGACAAACGAGCACACAGTCCACCTGATGGTAAGTGGTTTGTCTTTGGCCCATAAACATCTACATCTATCCTCGTTTGCGAATCGAAATGCAGATGCGTTGTCACCCGTGAGGACTAAGATGGAATGCCTCTTTTCCAGTAAAAGGGTCTCCGAGCCGATCCATTCGTGCTACAGCTATACTACTAATATAGCTGCAGCATAGCTCTACCACGTATATACGTATGTACTTTCGCGAGAGGCGACAGAGCGAAACAAACCTGGAGATAGGCAGCAGCGTCTTCCTGTTAACAACTAGAAAATAAAAATAAACTGTGGTTGCCAACCCGCCTGCCAAGCGTGGTAACTATGGCAAATATCATCTTAACATCGGCCTCCCTAATATTTGAGGAGGCCGATGTTCTCCAGTGGACTTTTGATAAGCTGTAATGGTAACGGATAATCGAGCATCGATGTTGAGTTATTGACGTGAGAATCGATGTCATCATCGATGTTTTTGCTAAATCGTCCAATCCCACACTGTCCTGAATGTTAACTGAAATATATTCCGTGTACTCTATGCCGCTCTCCTCGCCTAAAGCTCTTCACTCAGACATGCATTATGCTCACACTTTGTATATTAAAGTTAAGTTTAAAAAAGTATATTAATTTTTTTTTACAACTGGCCGCGTATACCGCGTGAAAAACGGTGCTTAATTAAGAGATTTTAATAGAAACAATTTAAAACAAACAAATTATCCAGTACTTTATGATAATTCACATCATGATTACAAAAGCAGTAGGATTAAAAACAAAATATATGATAATATTGCTGAAAATAATAAGACTTCGCCACAGCTAGTCATGTTACTGACGTCCAATCGTAGCACAGACATCTCAGCGAAAGGCGCTTCAAGCCGCCGCTGTACCCCGGTAGCATGTTGTTGCAGTGGCTGGAGCCGCGGCTCGCGCTTAGCCGCCACCGCTAGCCGCTTCTGTGTGGGAGACGCTTAAGACGCTTTAGTCATTGCCTACACCTCTGGGTGATAGATGTGCGTGTTTAAGTTTTATGATTTGATTATGGTTCATGAGAAACTAGAAGACTTCCTTTTGGCACGATCCTGACACACCTCTATCGACTCATTCACGTCTATATCTACGCTTACACGTTCGTCGGCCAGTCTTTGCCATTCACTCTGCAATATAAATCTGCTTTGTCACTTTTCCTCCTTCATTTTATTCCTTCTTCTTCTTCTTCTCTTACCACACAATTTCTCACTATGACATTCAGAGTCACTCCTTACATTCTTTTTAATGACCGCATTTCTGCAGCATTTCTTTCTACTCTTGTCCAGTATTTGTTAGAGTAATAACAAAAAACTAAAACTAAAATTATCATATAGTCCTTACTCACCACGGTGCCAAAAAAATATCCAGCCCTTTCGTGACCAGCTGCGACGATTAGTCACGGATACAGTTCCTTTAGGACCCCGCGGATCGATAATTCTACAGCAAATGACGCAAATGTGTGGTCATCGTGACTCATGTGTGCGCTATTTACTCAGTTCAGCCGCGTAGGAACTATATTATCATTATATCATAAATATCTATACTCACAATATCTCATTATAAAAACTATATTTAGGGATTTTAATAAAACTAAACATTTGCAACATTAAACGATTTATTTACAATAATAATTAATATAAAATTATGTACAAATATCAATATCACATTTTGAACTGCTTTAATTTGCACGTTTTTAATCCAGTAAAAATATAAAATGCATATTATACTTATTTTATCAGTATAGAAAATATCAAACTGGTATTTGTGAAAGTAAAATAGAACTTTTATTTCTTTTGTAGTTACAATATTAATTAAGTATAAACACTTTACACAAATATTTTTTACATCTGCTTTTATAAGTAATTCGTTGTCCATTACCAATTTTTCTCATGTCACTGTTTCAGCCTTAAGTTTATATTCTAAAAAAGCCTTTGCCAAATCTAAAGATATCTTTAAACATACGGAATGAACAGGTTTTGGTATTGGTTGTACTGAAAATAATTAGTTATAAATGTGGTGTTACATAAAAAATAAATATAAAACATAATAACTAACACATAATTGTACTTTTAAATTACAACGACTTACATCTAATGGATAATCTAAATACTAACAAATAAACAGGAATGGCTTGGCATTGTTTTCACAGATAAGTAATATGAACAAAATACAAAACAAAACAGTACTTAGATACAAGTCGCGGCGCGTAAGTCTAGCGCTGTAAGAAACGTGGAGGGGATAGCTGCGTATGGGTACTGTCGCGCACGAATTGAATTGCATGCGCCTGGAGAGCCAATCAGCGCGTGCGCACGATACGCACAAGCCAATCAGCACGACTTGTGGGCAATAACCGTTACTGCTAGATTTTCGTGCCACTACTTATAAACTGGTTTATTTCGGAAATATTGTGATTTTGAAAGAGCACAGAGTGCCTGTGCTCTTTCAAAATCACATTATTCTCTTATGCTCTTTCAAAATATCTAATCTTTCAAAAAAACTAAAAATTTCTCTTCGATTGAAGGTTATTGCAATTACTTAAACGAACCAAATAAATACAGCGTTATTTTATATTTAACCATTTGTAGCCGAGCGACCCTTACGAACGTGGGTGGATTACGAATATATTACGAACGCACGCAGCGTAGAAAAATAGCGGAAGTTAGATATTTATGAATGACAATCCGTTAAAATAGTGTTTTACCACGCATTCTGAATTTAAAAGATAAAAAGGACAGAATGTTTCAAAATTCAAATATATATATAATTCAAAATAATCCTGTATATTTTAACACGAAACTTTAGTTTAAAAGAGTGGATATAATTTCCGATGAAGTTCTGCAGAACGTGGTATTTTGACATTGATATATAATTAAATTTATATAATTTTTGGAAAAACCCAGGTTGAAAAATATGGGAAAAAATATAACCAAAAATTAGAACATTTATATTTTTCGAGTACTACCGAATCAATAATGGTCAGCCTACAATATTCGGTTTAGAAATTACACACAATACAATTAACAATATTCGGTTTAAGAAATCGATTTACGATTTCAATCGACTGAAGCGAGTCAGCTATCTAGCACACCAGTAATGTCACAATATGATCTCCAATAACAACTCTACAGTTTACTGTCGTCTATGGGTGCTGTAGGAAGAGTTCTGCCGCCATTCCTGACCGGAAGTTCGTCCTGGGTAAAGGCTCTGTTGTCTAAGCCGCTGGGTTTAACCGTTGATTCAGGCTGTCTCTCCACTGGTCCATCCATTAGGAACATCGTAAGGAAGAAGAGGATGCTACCTATAAACAGAAATTGAAGACTACGTTGTATGTTATTTTAAAAATAATTGTGATTGTGTGCGCATAAGATAATCCAGTACCCCATTTTATGAATTGGATAGAGGAGATTTTTTTTTAATGAAATGTAATATTTTCGAGGCCTATTAAAGTATAGCAGATTGTGAAAAACTATGTTTTAAATGAACATTTTAAAAGGTATTTTATTTAAATGAATATTTTTAAAGGAATATTTTTTAAATGAATATTTTTTAAATGATTATTTTTTTTAAATATTAAAAACTAAAACTAGTATTTTATATATCACACAGTCCTACTCCCCGCGGTATCGTGCCAAGAACGCTGGCTGCGTTTCCCCGCTGAACGGCTATACTTAGCCTTTGCGCGAGAAAAGAACCAGCCCTCTTAGCACCAGCAGCAACGACCAGTTGCGGATACAGTTCCTTTAGGAACTTTACTGCGACTTTTTTAAATGAATATTATAAAGAATATTTTTCGCTGTTTTGCACCCTTACATCATGTAGTGGCGGTGTAAGAACAGCCACTACTGCACATCGTCTCGTGAGTGTCATAAAAGGCGACAGAGAGGAAATAAACCAGGAGATGGGCAGCAGCGTTATCCTAATAGCAACTAGACAAGTGGTAAAATTAAAAATTTTGTACAACCGACTTCCATATAAATAAAAACGAGAACATCATTCATGTAAGTGTAAGTAGCCAAAGTTAATTAAACACGCATTCTTAAGGATAACTCAAAAACTACTGGACAGATCTTGATAAAAATTTATAACGGACCACATAAGAAGCTTTCAAATGAAAAAAGAACCATCAAAATCAGTTCACGTAGAAAAAAGTTCTAAGGTATAATATAATAAAAATAACAGTCGAATTGAGTACCTCCTCCTTTTTTTGAAGTCGGTTAAAAACAAGAAACTGCGGTTGTCAACCCGCCTGCAAAGTGTGGCAGCTATGGTAAATATTTCCGTTATGATGTCATTTATGAGGAGGCCTATGTCCAACATTGTTAAGATGTAATGAATGAAAAAAAAGAATGAGCCGATATTAAACGCTACACGCGATAGTCATTATTAGTCAGCCTTTTATTAAAATATAATTAGAAGTTTCGCCTGAATAATAATTTTTTTGAATTATGATTTGCAGACCCCTAATTATAGTTAGACACTAGGGTTGGCAATTCAACAGTTCGTGTCTTAAGTGTTGACTATAGGAAATTTAAGAAAAATATTATATAGTTTCCGATAAAAAAGGCATACCCAAGTTCCCTGGTGACAATAGGTGCTAAAATTGAAATGGAAGAAAAAATGATCTAAAATTAAATGCGATAAAATCTTTAAAACAAAAATAATAGAATAGTTAAATTGGTATCCAATATCGATTAATACAAGTAATACTTGTTGAAAGTCATTTATGTTTTCAGTGGTAAAAACCAGAACTGGGAAGGACCAGCAAGAAATCCAGCGGAACTTTTTTTTTAATATTACAGTTCACGACTTACATTTCACCTGATAATATGGTTTCTGCACCCGCCATAGGTTGGGCACTTAAAACCAATTACGAACATATAGGTAGATAGTCACAGATGTCACCCCTGAGGGCTAAGATGAAATGCCATACTATCTGTTAAATATAACAGATTTAATAAAACTGGCTCTCTTTTCCAAATCAGAACACAGCTGTACTGCTTGACAGCGGCAGCGCCAATAGGTAAGAAGCTTGTACAGAATTAAAAAGTACTTCTAGGCGGCAAAGGAATCCTTAAGGTTACAGCCTATATACGCACCAATTATAATTAATAATTAGAGGCACCAATATGTAATTAGTTAATACAGACTCATAACTACTCTTAGGCGTTAAAGCATTTCTTAAAGTTACAGCGACTAACGGTCAAATACTCAAACGTTACTCAATTGTAAGGTGTCGTTAAGTCTCGTGGTGTCACAGTTACTTTGACTTAAAGTGATAGAGACGGCACGAGATTTAACGTCATCTTAAAATTGAACAGCGTGGACATTAGTTTAACAACTCTATGTCCCACAGCTGGGCACAGGCCTCTCATTCCTCAGAGAGTTATTGAGCAATTAGTCGGTCACACTGCTCCAATGTATCTTGACGGATTTCACATTACAAATGACATGCCAGTTTCCTCACGATGTTTTCCTTCACCGCCAAGCACGTGGTAAATCAGTACTTAAAATTGCAATTAACAATTTCATTGGTGCCGGCGGGGATCAAACACGTGATACTCAAGTACTGTGACATTTAATTGCCCATAGCCTCTTAGCTATAACCGCTTTAAAGGAATCCTTGTCTAATAGAATAACTACTAAAGGTCCTCGTAATTTCAATTTTGTGATTTGTCTAAACACTTTACAAATTTCATAATATTTATTTGAAATTAAAATTATAAAAAAATATTTATTTTAAATTTAAGTAATAAAAATAATAAAAACGGTTATTTTTATATATATTAGTATAATGATTTTAAACAAATATTGTGAAACTTGTACAAGTGTTTAACTACATCACAGAACTGATGCTGAAGTTTCACCAAGTGACAACAATCACAAGTATTGGTGAGTGTAGAGAACAGGAGACCGTTTTTGCTAGAAAACAGGCATTCTATCTTAGTCGTCACGGCTGACAACGCATCTGCATTTTAATTCGCAAACGATGATAGATGCTGTGGCCCATAGACATCTACATGTCTATGGGCCACAGCATCCACTTACCATCTGGTGGACTGTGTACTTGCTTGTCACCCTTATTCTTTAAAAAATATATATATTATGAAACTTACTGATTCCATAAAATCCGGCGTAGAAGATCATAATAGCCTCCCTGTAGCCGATAGCCTTTGACACGGGGTCTACTAGGATGGGAAGGTTCCCGCCAATGTTGTTCATGACGAACAGGAACACTCCAACAGTCGTGGAACGGACGGACAGGGGCACGATCTCCACTAATATAGCGAACACAATGCCAAACCACATCTCAGCTGTAACAGAAATAAATAACGTTAGTGCCTAGTATATTTAGCCTTTTTTTTGTAACAGCTGGCAAAACTAAAAATTTTATACAACTGACTTTAATATAAATTATTAAGGATAACTCAAAAACTACTTGTCAAATTTACACAGTATCACATGAGAAGTACCAGCTTTCAAACAAGAAAATAATCATCAATATCGGTTCACCTAGAAAAAAGTTATGAGGTAACACGCATAAAAAAACATACAGTTGAATTGAGTACCTCCTCTTTTTTGAAATCGGTTAAAATAAATTAGCAATGTTTTTAACATTACTGATATTGTTTTTAAACACATGCTTTTTAGTTATTTTTTTTGCATTATAAATTTTAATTATGGAGTAGCTATGTAGGTAGGTATAGATACAATGACATTTACTAGTATTTTGAATAATTATGATAAATTTTAACTGTTAAAGTGTAACTGTAAATAGGTAGCATCTTGCTAAAGTTTGCTAGTTAATTTATTTTACTTTATGTTTGATTGTTTAATTTATTTATTTTGTTCAACATTATTTTAGATCTGTTTGTATTGTGAGTGCAGAGAACTGGAGACCCTTTTCACTGACAAAGAGGCATTCCATCTTAGTCGTTAAGAGTGTTAACGCATCTTCATATTGATTCCAAACCGAATATAGATTTAGATATCTAAAGGCCAAATAATCCACTTTCCATTAGGTGTACTGGATACTCGTTTGTCTAGTACACAGCTCGCCTGATGGTAAGTGGAGGCTTGACTACACCTACATCTAATGATGGAATGCCTTATTTACAGTATAACTGGTATCAGTTCTCATCACCCATTATACGATACATAGATAATAATACCAAGGTTATATAATAATGCCATGACCAAATAGCAGCATTAGCTGCTATTTGGTCTTAGTATTCTGTGCAAGTGTGGTTTTTCCCCGGACCAGATGAGTCACTCGTTCTGCACTCATAATATAGCAGCGTAATTCTAGCATGAATAGATTCTCTACGGAAGAAGTCCGTGTCTACAAGTTATCAGTTATCAGTATTATGAAATAGCTTACCGAAGAAGTAGGAAATAGCGAGAGTGATCATGGCCCATAGAGGAGCGAACACAACCGATCCGAAGGCTGGTAGTGTGGCTATAAGTTGTGACAACGCCAGCACCAACACACGTGACCTCACGCCCATTTTCGCTACGAACCTGTTTCAACATAAAATAAAGAAATAAGCAAAATAAAATGAGTTAAAATGACGTTTCCCTTAGTTGTTAGATAATAGACTGGATATGTATTATGTAGTGCCGTTGTAGGAGTATCCATTACCCCATATCGTGTGTCGTAGGAAGCGACAGAGGGAACAAATTAGGAGATGGGCAGCAGCGTTTCACTAAAATCAACTATGGTTTGGAATAAAAACTAATATTATTGGAACGAGCTTCCTTATCGCACGGTACGAATTTGGCGAATGGGTGCTACTCGTAGACGAGAAAAAGCGTAAGATTTTTCCGTCATCCCTATTCTATAGTGCGAGCAAAATTATTTTATATATAATATTATACACAACAGATAAGTAATTTATTTCAAATTATAATTATAAAACAAGAATACTACAAATATATGACATGAAAACATGCATGAGTGTCATGGAACACCCGATTGGAACGAAGTTCCTTACGTATTATATTATTGATAAACGTATTATATTATTATTGATTAACAAATACAAATAAATGAATTACTAGCGTCTATTAAAATGAAGCGTCATTTAAAATAAAATGATATTTCTTTCATGGCAAGATAAGAAAAAGTGCGAGGGAGATGGATATTATTCCATCTCGCTTCCTTATGTGTGACGGAAAATCTAACACTTTTTGTCGCCTAGCCCTCGTCCGCCAAATCCGTACCGTCTGATAAAGAATTTTGTTCCAAAAATTTAACCAGACGGAAGTTCTCATGCTGAGAGCTTTCGTTCTTACCAAACCACCGAGGGTTCAGGTCGCCCTGGAATGAATCCCTCTAACATACAATATTTAGCAAAAGAACACTGATTCTTACCAAGGACGACTCTCGAGGCTATTGAAATAAAATTTAAAATTTCAATAGAGAATATGGTTCGGAGCTAGCATCTCCTTGGGATTCTATAATCACGAACGACACTGCAATTGCAATTAACTCCAAACCCAAGCATACCAAGACTTCAAGATACTGTAAGCTCGTTCTGAGTAGATCGGACGATTTTTTTTTAAAATTAATGTTCAAAGGCTAAATGTAACCGGGTTAACTATGACATTAAGACATGAAACCCCCGTAACCATTGGTGCTGTAAGGTACCAGAAACTTCGGGAATTAAAATAAGTAAAAGCAGTTAAATCAAACGCGTTAAAATCTGTAAAATTAGTTTTATTTAAATGTGTAGATATCGTGTAAATACCTATAAGAAATCACCCTTAAAAATATAATTATTCATAAAGTATTATTACTTGTCGGAGATGACGCCGCCGGCGACGACGCCGACGGAGCCGATGCCGACGGTGACGGCGAACAGCCACCAGCCCAGGTCCACGTCGGGGAAGTAGTCGCGGTAGAACAGGTCCGCGTTGTACGCGAAGCACATGCCGCCTGCAAACGAACACCCCGTTCACTATAACTAATTCTATATATATTTTTTTATAGGATAGGGTGACAAACGAGCACACAGTCCACCTAATGGTAAGTGGTTGCTGTGGCCCATAGACATCTACATTTACCCTCGTTTGCGAATCAAAATGCAGATGCGTTGACACCCGTATTTTAAACCCGTTTCGTACGTGGTAGAGCCATGCTGCAGCTATATTATGGTTGTAGCACTAATGGGTCGGCTCGACCGAGGAAGGAGCACGCTCTCACAGAATACCAGCGCAAAATAGCAGCTTAACGCTGCTGTGTTTCGTATGGTGAGTGTAGAGAACCGGAGACCCTTTTTACTAGAAAAGAGGCATTCCATCTCAGTCCTCAGGGGTGACAGCGCATCTGCATTTTGATTTGAGTGCAGATAACCGGAGATCCTTTTTACTGAAAACGAGGCATTCCATCGCAGTCCTCAGAGGTGACAGCGCATCAGCATTTTGATTTTTAATCAAAAATAAATATAGATGTCCATAAGCCACCGCAACCGCTTACCATCAGGTGGACTGGGTGCTCGTTTGTCACCCTAATTCTGTACCCTAAATCTAAAAAGAGATATAATTGATATTTCAGGATTTTCAATTTAAGGTAGTATAATTTAAATAATAATTATATAAAATGAAGTCATGATATAACTTTCCTCTTTTTATTTATTACTGTAGTGGCAATTAAACTTACGATCCACCTGATGGTAAGTGACTGCTGCAGTTCAAGGACACCTGCAGTCAACATCAAACAAAGAAGACTACAGATACTTTTTGACGTCTGAGGACTGAAATGGAATGCTTCACAGCCTCTAATTATCACTATGTAACTCACCGCTATGTCTGATGGAAGCGGCTAAACACAGCAGCAACACCCTGGGCTGTGCAATGACACGCCAGATCGTTATTTGAGGGATTTTCTTGCCCGATTCCAAAGCCGCATCTCGTGCTTTCGTGCTAACAGCCCCTGAAAATACAAGTATGTATACATATAATAACACATTTAAAATTGATTTTTAAATCGACAAATAAAAGTTATCAAGTAAATTATATCCCGACTGAATATAAAGTCGTGTAGTGATGGTGTAAGAATATTTGTTGGAGTCGTAAATGGTGACAAAGGGAAACAAACCAGGAGATAAGCAGCAACGTCTTCCTGATAGCTAGAAAATAAATAACTGCAGTTCGCACATAGATTGCGTCGTAGGGTAGATATTTGCCATAGTCGCTACGCTTGGCAAGCGGGTTGGTAACTGCAGTTTTTAATTTTTGGTCGTTATTAGAAAGACGTTTTTTTTTATAGGCAAACGAGCATGCGGCTCACCTGATGGTAAGTGACTACCGCCGCCCATGAACAACCGCAACATCAGGGGAATTGCAGATGCGTTGCCGGCCTTTTAAAAAGGAGTAGGCTCTTTTCTTGAAGGTCCCTAAGTCGTATCGGTCCGGAAAAATCGCTGGTGGTAAACTATTCCACAAGGAAGTTGTGCGAGGAAGAAAACATCTTCTAAATCGCACAGTGGTGGACCGCCAATCATCCAGATGGTGTGGATGGTATCGGGAGTTCTGCCGCGATGTGCGTTCATGAAATTTGGCGGCTGGGATTAATCCGAACAATTCCTCAGAGCACTCCCCATGGTAAATGCGAAAGAAAATGCTAAGAGATGCAACATCGAGAAAGACGTTGTAGTATACGTCTTCTAAATGTTGATTATTACTTTACTTTTAAATGTTGATTTTAGGCGCTGTGGTCATAATGTCACTTATTGTCATTGGCTTATCATTATATCTACATATAAAAAAAAATGCCTTGTAGTGGCGGTGTAGGAATTGTCCCATAACATCCCGTGGGTTTCGTAAGAGGTGACACATTGAAACAACTCAGAAGATAGGCAGCAGAATCTTATTGATAATAACTGAAAATAATACGAAGAAACACATTTTGCAATTTATTCTCTATGCAAGATTTTTTTTCAATTTAAGTGACATCATCATCTACATTAATGGCGTTTCTATAAACATTAATTTTATTCTTATTACTTCATTCAATTATTCTTCCTTCGTACTTAAACTTGTCAGTATTGAATAGAGGCCGTTTGTTTTAATGTTTGCATATGGCAATGAAATAATATTTTATATTGTATACCAAATGATGGATCGCACCGGCAACGGAACCCAAGGGGCCAGCAGCTGGCCGACTTCATGGAGAAAGAGGGACTCTTTATGATGAACTCTTTCATCCAGAAGCGGCCGCACATGAAGTGGACCTGGTTGAGGCCCGACGGTTCGACAAAAAATGAGATTGACTTCATTATGACGACCAGACCACAACTGTTCAGTGATGTCTCAGTGATCGCGAGGGTGAAAACTGGTAGCAATCACCGAATGGTTAGAGGTACACTGAACCTAAACGTTAAGTTGGAGAGGTCTAGTCTAATGAAGTCAACGCTCCGTCCCCCTCGTGCTCTAGTGCAAAGTCCTGAAACCTTTCAGGTCGAGAGAGAGTTACAAAAGAGTTACAAAACCGTTTTCAGTGCCTGGAAGACTGCAATGAAGTGGACGATATAAATGATAAGCTCGTGGAAACTGTCCATGCGGTCGGAGCTAAGTTCTGCAAGACCCGCCGCAGAAGAACACAAAAACTCTCCGATCACACACTTAATCTCATGGCTGTTAGACGGGAAATGAAGCTGCAGTCTTCAACAGATTTGACAGCATACATGCAACTGAACAGACAGATCTCCAAATGCATGCGGCGGGACTTCATCATTCATCATTATCATTACAGCCCTTCACAAGTCCACTGCTGAACATAGGCCTCCCCCAAAGAATGCCACAAAGCACGGTCCTGAGCCACCTGCATCCATCGACTTCCTGCATATCTTACCAGGTCGTCACTCCATCTAGTGGGGGGGTCATGGGGGGTATATTGCCATAGTTGCCACGCTTGGCGAGCGGGTTGGCAACCGCAGTTTTTTTTATTGTTATTTTGGCTATTATCAGGAAGATGCTGCTGCCCATCTCCTGCCTGTTTCCCTTTGTCGCCTTTTACGACACCCACGGGAAGATATGGGGTAGTGGATATTCTTAACCGCCACTACACGGCGCGGCGGGACTTACGCAACTACAATACAGCTTGTATTAAAGAAGCGATCGAGCGGAACCAACGCTCCAAAGTCTTAGCCAGAGATTTGTCTGCTAGAAAGAGCCAACTGTCAAAGCTGAAGACCGAGTGTGGCAGCATCGTTTCCGGGACATCTGAGATTTTGGGTGAGATTGAGAGGTTCTATGGGCAGCTGTACACGTCAACGTTGGAGCTAAACGCAAGTGTGAGTAACGATCCAAGAGCGAGTCTTATCCGACACTATTCCGAAGATATCCCGGACGTCAGTCGCGAGATTAGAGTGGCTCTCCAGCACCTTAAAAGCGGCAAGTCCCCGGGCGATGATGGAATTACAGCGGAGCTTCTGAAAGCGGGTGGAAGACCGGTACTTGAAGTCTTTCAGAAGCTCTTTAAATCCGTCCTCCATGGTGGCACTACTCCGGAGGCGTGGAGCAGAAGGGCGATGGTCTTGTTCTTCAAGAAAGGCGATAACGCTCTCTTGAAGAACTACAGACCGATTTCCCTTCTGAGCCGCGTCTACATGCTGTTTTCGAGAGTCATTACGAATCGTCTCGCAGGCAGACTCGACGACTTCCAGCCTTCCGAACAAGCCGGTTTCCGAAAAGACTTCAGTACCATAGACCACATACACACCCTTCAGCAAATTGTTCAGAAGACAGAAGAGTACAAACTACGACTTTGCCTTGCGTATGTGGACTATGAGAAAGCCTTTGATTCCGTCGAAATTTGGGCGATGCTACAGTCCCTTCAGCGGTGCCAAGTTGACTACCGGTATATCGAAGTGCTGAAGTGTTTGTACAGTAGGGCTACGATGGCTATCCGAGTACAGAACCAGAGTACGAAACCTATCCAACTGCAGAGGGGTGTAAGACAGGGCTACGTTATATCCCCGAAACTCTTCACCGCTGCATTGGAAGACATTTTCAAGCTACTGGACTGGAAAGGATGCGGTATTAACATCAATGGCGAGTACATCACTCACCTTCGATTTGCCGACGATATAGTCCTTATGGCAGAATCGCTGGAGGACCTAAGCACTATGCTCGATGTCAATTAACATCAATGGCGAGTACATCACTCACCTTCGATTTGCCGACGATATAGTCCTTATGGCAGAATCGCTGGAGGACCTAAACACTATGTTCAATGACCACAATAGTGTCTCCCAACGGATAGGTCTTAAGATGAACATGGACAAAACAAAGATCATGTTTAATGTCCATGTCACACCTATGCCCGTAGTTGTTAGGAGCACTAAGCTCGAAGTTGTTAACGAGTATGTTTACCTGGGACAAATAGTCCAACTAGGTAAGTCCAACTTCGACCGAGAGGTCAATCTACGGATTCAACTCAGTTGGGCAGCGTTCGGGAAATTACTGCACATCTTCTCGTCAGGTATACCTCAAAACTTGAAAACGGGACTGTACAACCAGTGCGTGTTGCCAGTGATGACCTATGGAACTGAGACGTGGTCCTTCACTGCTGGCCGGATGAGGAAGCTCAAGGTTGCTCAGCGAGCTATGGAGAGGGTTATGGTCGGAGTTTCTCTGCGTGATAAATTTAGAAATAAGGATATCCGCAGTAGAACCAGAGTGACCGACATAGCCCAACGGATTAGTAAGCTGAAGTGGCAATGGGCCGGCCATATAGCTCGAAGAACCGACAACCGATGGGGAAAAAAGGTGCTTGAGTAGAGACCTCGTACCAGCGGACGAAGTGTGGGGCGTCCCCCCACTAGATGGAGTGACGACCTGGTAAGACATGCAGGAAGTCGATGGATGCAGGTGGTTCAGAACCGTATTTTGTGGCATTCCTTGGGGGAGGCCTATGTTCAGCAGTGGACTTGTGAAGGGCTGTAATGATGATGATGAATGCTGTTGTGTTTCGTATGGTGTGTGTAGAGAATCGGAGACCCTTTTTACTGGAAATGATTCATTCCATCTTAGTCCTCAGGGATGACAACGCATCTGCATTTTGATTCTTTATCGAGGATTGATGTAGATGTCTATGGGCCACAGTATCCACTTACCATCAGGTGGACTGTGCGCTCGTTTGTCACTCTTTCTATATATAAAAAAAACTTACCCTCTTCACCAATAGTCGTCCTTTCCGGTTCGCGAAGCGTTAAAAAGGTGAGCACAGCAATGATGATACCGATAACACCAGCTCCATAGTAACAGACGCGCCAGCTCTGATGAAACAATAAAAACTCATTAAATCAGGATTTGTTTACAAGAGAATAGTGAAGAATCTTTTTTAATACATACACATATCTAAATCACTAGTTGTTTTGCTTTAAAATAATTTTAATTATTTTTTCTTTGTAAATTAAGATTTTATTATGGCTTAGCGGTGTTTAAGTAATGAGGTCTAATAATTTTCTGCTCACCAGATGTCGCTGAACGCCACTGAGGTAAAGTTTTTTATTACGCAATTTAATTGAGAAGTAGGTTTTTTAATAAAAGTTTATGAGTTTCTATAGTATTATATTAACACACAAAACAATGCTTATAAGTATAGGCAATGCGTCAGTGGTTTGCTCTTTAATTTTTTGCACATTTTTAACTTTTTTTAAATTTTTTTACTTTTATGAATATCTGTGGTTTGGTTCATTTATTTTTAATCTTTTTAATATAAAATATAGCTAATAGTACAGAAAGAAACAATAACCTTTACATTTTCCGAACAAATTAACTTCTCCGCTATGAAATCTGTCAAATATTATACCTCACTGTCTAGTGGCGCCGCCCTGGTGGCAGAAAAAGTCGTGGATGCCCTATAAGGCTATATTATACATTTAGATTTTGTATGTTAAATTGTAACAAGTGTAGGTAGACCTTTTTTCAATAATAAAATAAAATATAATGACTATTTTGCATTAAACATTTTTTTATATCTGTTATTTTCGTGTCCGGTATAATAATAATAATAATAATTTCTTTATTTGCTTAGAAACAAGTATTATAAGCTGGTACAAGTTTGTCAGAGCGCATATGTTTCGCCGTAATGAAAATAGCATGCAAATAACACATTGAGTTTAAAAATATTATAATGAGATTACATGTCAATTCATACTATTAATATAATAATTATCACCAAATATGTCACTGTCACACGAATAAAAATTGAATAAAATAAGAATTTATAACTATATTAATCTATGTTAAGTTTTTGGTACAGAGAAATGAATCTATGCTATAAAAGTTATTCTGACTTAGCCATTTGTACAACCTATGTTTAAACATATTGATATTGAGCATTTTAATATCTCTAGGAATCTTGTTATATATTTTGACACCCATACAGAGGCAACTTTTTGCATACTTATCCGACCTTGGAATGTCATTATATATATTTGCTTTAATGGATCAACTTTTAAAAGCAGTGTAATATTTTATTATACAAAACAAGAATATAGTATATCTGAAGGTAAGACTTGAGACGAGGCCTTCTAGGTCTTCTAGGTTCTAGGTAGGTGAGAGACCTTCTAGGTTCGACTATAGTTCAAAGGTCTATATGTTTATAATTAACATGTACAAAAGTAGTATGCAGAAATAAGGATTTAATTATTTTAATGCCTAAATACAACAAATCATTATAGAACTAATTATTGCAATATGTTTTGAAGCAACCTTTCTCTGTCAACTATTAAGCTAAATAGAGATAAATATAGAACATGCTGCAGCTATATTAATAGTATAGTTGTAGCACGAATGGGTCGGTTCGACCGGGGAAGGACCACGCTCTCGCAGAATACCAGCGTAAAATAGCAGGCTGTGTTTCGTATGGTGAGTGTAGAGAACCGGAGACCCTTTTTACTGGAAACGAGGCATTAGTCCTCACGGGTGACAACGCATCTGCATTTTGATTCGCAAACGTGGATAGATGTAGATGTCTATGGGCCACAGCAACCACTAACCATCAGGTGGACTGTGTGCTCGTTTGTCACCCATATACTACAAAAAAAAAAGATATAAGTTCAGTCACACATTTTGATAATTAAAGCTACATAGAAAAAAATATTTTATTTAAATTACTCACCAATCCCCAAGCATTTAATGGGGGAATGTACCTTCCCACGGGGAATGCAATACCGTAACCACCGTATATCCCCCAGTTGAAGATCGACAGCACCAACGCTCTCTGGTGTTCTGGGAAGAGATCCGTCAGTATACCAGTGGCTAGGGGATTGCAGCCGGATTCGCCAGCGGCCATAAGCATGCGAAGTAGCACCAAATGCCAATATTCGGTCACTGTGCCCATTAGAAGGATAGCAACCACGAAGACCAAAGTACAAGCTGAGAGAATGCGAGCCCTGTTGAATCTGAAAGAGGAGAACATTATTTACATTAAATAAATTCCAAAATTATTTCTCTCTTTCATTTAATACTAGCTGGCTCGGTAAACTTTCTTGTGACGTGGCGCGAGGAGCTTGACTCTTAAGGACTTTTTACAGTGTAAATATAAAATTTGTTAATAACTCCACTATAGCAGTTTCTTGGCTGAACGGCTGTCCTTAGCCTTTGGACTAAAAAAGAACCAGCCTTCATGTCTCTAGCAGCGACCACTTGTGCCATTTACTTAGTGAAGCTGCCTGTGATGCCATCCTGGCTTTAAACGATGTACGCTGAGATAGCTGCCAAAGTATCTACGCACGTAGAATCCCACACTGGAGCATTGCTAAACTAAACATTCCATAATGCTCTAAAACTATATGGGGAATATTTATAGAAATTAGAGCTCTTTGGATAACACTTTTAGCGAACCGCGGCGGGACAATCGGCCAGCACTTTCCTTATATGAAAGTCCGTGTAGCTCAAACTCACTGACAGCACTTTATCTTTCTGCATTAAATATTGTAATTGCTATGTTATGGAATGGTTAATGAGCCGTGGTAGCTCAGATGGTTAGCGCTCGCTGTAAGCTTCACAGTACTCGAGCAACCCGGGTACGATCCCCACCGGCACCAGTGAAATTTGTTGATTTACCACGTGCTCGGCGGTGAAAGAAAACATCGTGAGGAAACCTGTACGTCTCAGAAATAACAAAAAAATATATTTCGAAGACATGTGAAGTTCGTCAACACGCATTGGGTCAGCGCGGCGGATTTTTCCTTGCCCTAAAACCCTCTCAGAAATGTGGGGAGGCCTGTGCCCAGCAGTGGGACGAAAATAGGCTGCAACTTTACGTTACGTTACTTTATGTCATGGTGGTTCGAGAGAACTTTCACGCAGTGTTTTAAAGTCTTTCAATGGATGTTAAAAGAACTCAATAATGCCATTGTGTCTATTCTATATCGATAATGTGATTATTACTATATTCATTCGTCGTTAAGTATTTTTGGTCCTTCTAGTCGACATTTTCACGTGTCAAAAATACACGTTCAAAAATATTAAATATACTAGCTGTTCACAGCGACTTCGCCTGCGTGTAATTTAGGGTTTTAATTTTACTGCGCGGAACCCTAATTCTTTTTCTAAAATATTAGTAACCTAAGTGTGAAAGTGAAAGTTCCGTCAAAATCGGTCCAGCCGTTTCCGAGATTAGCCGGAACAAACAGACAGACAGAAATTTTAAAAATAGTGTTTTTGTTATAAGTACCGTACATACTTTCGTATGCATTTAGTAAAAAGGTGTTATTTTAACATTACAAACAGACACTGCAATTTTATTTATTTGTATAGATGTCAAATATCTTAATTTGTTAACAAGAGACGTAAACACGCAATAATATCTAAAATACCAAAAATCGTAGCTGGATTTTGAATTCATTAATGGGATTTGCTTGCCAAGTGTGGCGGAAACCATCTTCTAAAGCTGGGAGAGAGGTCGGCTCACCAGATGATGTCATGATGAGTTCACACGTTCATCTTTCTATTCTGAAGATTTCTCAAAAATGAAAAGTTGATAGTAATTTAAACATTTTCTATAAGTAAGTATTTTCTTTTATCAACATCATGATTACACCCCAACACAAGTCCACAGCTGAGGCAATATCTCTCTTATAGATTGCCATCAAGCACGACTTAAGTTATCTTGAGTTATCAGTTATCAATGGACGCCATTGACTTCTTGCAAGCCACACCACTGTTGGACGGGAAATGAAACTGCAGTCTTCAATTCATCTTTCATCTCTCCCATCCTCATTGAAGGTTTTCGAATTGCAATCCAGGATCTTTTCGCTTTAAAATTGAACTGGTAACCGCTTACAACCATTGTTGTGTGTGTTTCGTTACAACTTTGCCATGAGAATTACTGTTACGATAAATTGCTGTTTCTAGTTTCTTGACTTGAAGAAAATGTCACATGTTCCAAAACTTATTAAAAGTAAATAATCATGTTATATATTACAACTTACTTGTCAGCCACCACTCCGATGATGACCCCCACGACGGTGAAGACCGCCATATAAGCTGGCCCCGCCAACACCTGATAGTCGATCCCCAGGCCGTTGTGACCCCACTCGCAGTACCTCGTACCGTTCAGCGTAAGGGACTCACATCTAATGCAAAGAATTTAAGTTTTTATAATAAAAAATTATAATAAAAATCAAAAAGAACATTTTTAACAATAACAAGACATACAACTATTATTGTTCATTGTATGGTAAAGATGTTCTACTAAGCGCTCTCTGTAAATTTCACAGTATGCGAGCAAGCCGGGTTCGATCCCCGCCGGCACCAATGAAGTTGTTGATTGCAATTTTAAGTGCTAATTTACCACGTGATCGGTAGTGAAGGAAAACATCGTGAAAAAATCTGCATGTGTGAGAAATAAAAAAAATATACCGAAGATATGTGAAGTCCGCCAACACACATTTGGGCAGCGCGGCGGACACTTCCTTGCCCTAAAACCCTCTCAAAATTGAGATGATAGCTGTGCCCAGCAGTGGCACGTTTATAGGCAGTAACTTTAAATATGTAATAGAAGATGTATTGCTTCCAAAAAAAGGACTCTCTGTAGTGGATGTTTAGTCACGGTAATAAAAATAGCAACTAGGGAAATCTACAGAAGACTAAATGACCTTTTTTTTTCTAGGTAATAAACTAGACATTTTCTGCCTAGGAGTTCGACTGAATAGGTACCAGCCTCTTACCATTATTGCCGCCAAATAGCAGTGCTTGCTGCTACTTTACGGTTTGAAGCGTTTAGAGAGTCAGAATAACTACAGGCTGTGAGACATTCCATCTTAGTCCTCAGACGTGAAAACGCTTCAGTTTTATATTTAAAAAAAATATAATAATTTTTAGGAGTATATAATAATTATTGTAAGCTTCGTGGCGCAGTGGCTTAGTTATTATTTATTTAATTAAAGTGGTCCGAGTTCCGCACGGTACAAGTATTTGTATGGCCTACAAATAATTGTTCCGGGTGTGCATGTTTGTCCTTGTAAAATTTTATACGTGGTAGAGCCATGCTGCAGCTATATTAGTAGTATAGTTGTAGCACGAATGGGTCGGCTCGACCGGGGAAGGACCACGCTCTTACAGAATATCAGCGTAAAATGGCAGCTCGACACTGCTGTGTTTCGTATGGTGAGCGTAGGGAACCGGAGATCCATTTCCAGAGGCATTCCATCTTAGTCCTCACGGGTGATGACGCATCTGCATTTTGATTATTTATTGAGGATAAATGTAGATGTCTATGGGTCACAGCAACAACTTACCATCAGGTGGATTGTGTGCTCGTTTGTCACCCTATACTATAAAAAAATTATGTATGTAAACTGCATTCACGATACAAGAGAAAAACCTAGTGTGGGGGGTATCGATTTTTATAAAAAAAGGAATATGCTGGTAGTCAACGGATTTTTGGAGTCTGAGGTGTGTTTTGCCTGGGATATATCCCTAGAGCGCAGGCTGCGAAATCATAAATCATTTATTTGCAAGAAATATTGTTGGTACACAAGATGTTAAGTTATAGCACAGGACATATTTCAGCCTCATTACGGGCATGCAAAATTATAGTAAATTTACAATTATTTGAATAAAATTACAATTATTAGCATTACAATTATTACAATCTTTTAAATTTCAATTATTTGAATTACATGAGGTGGACTGTGTGCTATCTTTGAATCTTGAATAGCTGTATTTAGCCTTTGCAATAAGAACCAGCCTAGTTGTCACCAGCACAGATGACCAGTCGCGGTACAGGAATGACTCAGACCTTACCTTCTTACGTAACGTATTATGTACGGAATAATAAATTGCACGAGCTGCCACAATAAATGCCGATCATACTTTTTGCATTTGCGTTTCCCGGTTAAGAACTAGAATATTGTCGGTTAGATTACAATGAATGCAGGTAACAAATTCAAATTAGGTCTTGTCTGTATTTTTTGTCAGTGTAATAAACACTTGTCAGTGTTTATTCACGGCGTTATTTTTTAAAATTTTGATATATGCAGTAGAGTTGGAAGTTTATAATATAAATTTGGCCGTGGAAGGATCATTTGGGGAGATCTCCGTCCGTGTATTCTTTCGGAACTGTTTTATTCAGGGTTATTTTACAATAACCAGCCAAATTTGCAGAAAAGTTTCAGAATAAGTAATATAGGCAAATGGTGAAGAAAAATTAATTATAAAAGATCTCATCTTTGTCCTTTTTATCTTTTAAGTTTAAAGTGCGTGGCAATGCATTATTTTAATTGATTTTACTGCGCGCGCACACATTCGTAAGGGTCAATCGGTAGGTTTGTTGCCCATAAATCACATTCAATTTGGGATAATTTCAAATAAATTTAGAATCCTTATTTACTCGTATTTTTAAAAACTGCAATAACGGTATATCATTATTTATATATTTGAACTTAAGTTTAAAAATCTACTATTTGAAAAATAGCCTTGTGTATAGCGCGTTAACTTCAGAATTTCGATAGCGCGATTTAGGTTCGGTGCGTTTAGTTTACGGTGCGACGACAGGTGTCTAGTTTCCTAACATTAATATGATATCAAAGTTTTATGAACTAATAATATGTCTTTTTCCAATTCATGAATTCATTTATTACAGCCTACAAAGGCAACTGCTGATCAAAAACAACAAGTCTCCATAGATTGCCTTTTAGGACGGATATTGCCATAGCTGCCACGCTTGGCAGGCGGGTTGGCCATCGCAATTTTTTTATTTAGTTGTTGTTAGGAAAACGCATCTCCTTTTGTATCCTTCTCTCGCTTCTTACGACATGGATGGGACGGACGAGGCACCTTTTTTTATTAAAGTAATGTGCCTCCGTTTGATAAACAGCTTATCCTGTAATACCAGCATAAAATAGTAACTTAATGATGCTGTGATTCGTATGGTGAGTGTAGAGAACCGAAGGCCGTTTTTACTAGAAACGAGGCATTCTATCTTAGTACTTAGGGTTTGATACGAGTACATCTATGTTTCAATTCTTAATTAAGGATAAAATAGACACGGGCCACGGCATCTACATAAACTTACTGTCAGGTGGACAGTGTGCATGTCTGTCATGCTTATTCTTTAAAAAAAAAGTTCTTTCAAAAATGTGAAAAGTCCTGTGTCCAGTAGCTTACAAAGATCATCGGCATAGTCTCAATTCTGGGAGAGAGATTCAACAGAAGTTATATATTTCATTTTTCTAACTTACTGTTTTCCTCATTAAGCTTCCTTCCTTCATTGTTTTTTTTTTTTTATAAAATAAGGGTGACAAACGAGTGCACAGTCCACCTGATGGTATGTGAATGCTGTAGCCTATAGGCACCTACATATATCTTGAACTGAGAATTGAAATGCAGTTGCGTTCTTACCCTTGAGGACTAAGATGAAATGCTTCCAGTAAAAAGGTTCTCCGGTTCTCCACACTCAGCATACGAAATACAGCAGCATTAAGCTGCTATTTTACGCTAGCATTCTGTGAGAGCGTGGTCCTTTTCTGGCCGAGCCAACCTATTCGTGCTACAACCATAATAGCTGCAGCGTGTCTCTACCACGTATAAAGTAGAACACGTGGTAAATCGGTACGTTGGTACCTGTAATCGAATTCAGATACTCTGTTTACGTGGGAGAGCCACGCTGCAGGTATCATGGCTCCAGCAGAAATGGGTCTCCACAACACGGGGAACTTCACGCGATCGCAGAATCTGAGCGTAAAATACCAGCGTTAAACTGCTGTAAGTGACGAAAACCGGAAACCCCCTATACTGATAACGAGAGATGCCATCGTAGTCTTCTATAACTAAGGGCACATTTACTATCAGTTGTATTGTGTGCTAGATCAATCTTACTTAAATTAAAAAAAAATCGCTTGCAATGAAATTAAAATTAGTCGTCCGGCTTTTGAGCTGCCACTTTGTATACGTAAATTATATGTTAATTTAACAATGTAATCACTTCTAACTGGCGTGTACAAGGTGATTTAATAAGTTATTCAATAGTTGGTAACTTTGTCACGTGACGTACAACAAGAATTAGTATAGCAAGTTAGTTTTCTGGCTCTCAAGGTTATACCAAAGACAAAGCAGAACTAATTTGAAGTTCTCACAGTAAGTAACTGCTCGCATTTCGTCGCGTCGGTTTAAGATTAACATTACCAAACGATGTAAAGAATGTAGATTCGTTGTCAGCCTGAGGAGGAACAAGTGGTAAAATTAAAATTTTTGTACAACAGACTTCAATATAAATTATTAAGAATAACTCAAAAACTACTGGTCAGACCTTGATCAAATTTATATGGGACTTGATGAGAAGCACCTGCTTTCGAATCATCTAAATCGGTGCACCTAAAAATAGTTATGAGGTAACACACATAAAAAAAAGATATAGTCGAATTGAGTACCTCCTCCTTTTTGAAGTCGGTTAAAATTGACAGTAAAGAGGGTGAAAAATCAGTAAAAAAGGTCGCCAGTTCTTTACACTCATCATACGAAACACAGCAGTAATGAGCTGCTATTTTACGTTGGTATTCTGTGAGAGATTGGTCCTTCCCCAGTCGAGCTGACCCATGCGTGCTACGACGATCATATAAATGCAGCATGGCTCTAACACGTAAGTAATAACAAAAAATAAAACTGCGGGTGCCAATTTGCATGCCAAGTGTGGCAACTATGACAAATATCTATCTTATGAGGCAATCCATGAATTAAATTATATATGGTTTTATTACCTTTAACTGACACGCACATCGGTAAAGCAAGGTCTTTGACAATACTCATGCTCCCATCCAATGCAGAGGTAATAAAACCACAAACATTTGGCAAATAATAATTATTAATTTAAATTGACTTAATTTTCATTTAATTTTAAGTAGGACTGTATAATAAACAGGTAAATGAAATTGTATACTTGGGGAGTGCTTTTAGCCGGGATGGAAGATGTGATTTAGATGTGGACAGGCGTGTCGCTGCCGGGAACAAAGTCAATGGTGCCCTGACTGCGTTAGTCAAAAGTAGCGAAGAGTGCACGCCTTGCAATACATAACGCAGTGTTGGTACCGACTTTGTTATATGGCAGCGAAACCTGGGTATGCCAGAAGAAGCATAA